ATTGATTCCAAGCATCTTTAATTCTCATCTCTCTTCTTTCTTCTGCACCTGGAGAGACCAATAGCTGAAACTTAGAGCCACTTTGAGCTTTTAATATCCCAGATGCTACTCATCAAAGCAGATGCTACTCATCTTCAGCTTCAGTTTGAATTTGCATATGAGCAGTTGTTGGTCTGTTCCACAATCTGGCCCTGCCCTTGTTTTGTATTCCATCTGGTGAGGTCCATGTGTGTAATCATCTCTTATGCTATCTAAAGAAGGTATTTGAAATGAACAAATCATTTGTTTTGCAGAATTCTATCATACAATCTCCAGCATCATTTTTATCACCAAGGCCATATTTGCCGACTACTCATCCTACCTCCTTGCTCCCAACCTTTGCATTCCAGTCACCAGTAATGATCAATATTTCTTGATTGCATGTTTGATCAATTTCAGATTGCCGGAGTTGGTAGAAGCTACTAGTGTCCTACTCATATTTCTTGTGTATCTATACTAAGTAGAGGCATTGATGGGTCATAAGGTTATTCTGTTTTAAACTTCCTGAGGAATTGCCATTGCCATTTTCCAGAGTGGTTGAACCATTTTATAGTCCAACCAGCAGTGTAAGAGGTCCTAGTCTCTCCACACCCTTGCTAACATTTTTTATTTTCTGTGTTTTTCAATTTTGCTGTTATTGTTACTGTGAGATGACACCTTATTGTTGTTTTGATTTGTATCCCTCTATTGGCTAATGATTGTGAACATTTCTTCATTTATTTGTTGGCTGCCTGGATGTCTTCCTTGGTGAAGTATCTGTTCATGTCCTGTGCCCAGTATTTAATTGGGTTGTATATTGTTTTGCTGTAGTTTTCTATAAATATTAGAAACTAGTCCCTTGTCTTGTATGCCATTGGAAAATTCTTTTTTTCCAGCTTGTGGGCTGGCTTTTTACTCTTTTAGTGAGATCTTTTGATAAACAGAATTTTCTAATTTTCAGGAGGTCCCAGTCATCTATTTGCTTTTTACTGCTTTAGTGTTTATGTAACTTTGGATAGTGTGTATGTACCATTTATTAGAGCCCCTAAGTTTGTCTCCAGTTTTTAATTGATGACTTTATAGTTCTGGGTTTTACATTTAGGTCTTTAATTGATGTTGACTTTGTTTTTGTATATGGCATGAGGTGGGAGTCTCTGCAACTATACTTAGTGCTCTTTTTGCTTTGTAATTGTCCTGAGTATGCATTCATATTTCTGAATCCCTATTTTCAGTCCTGTAGCTTTGTTCTACTTTAGATACTTACATATGTAGACTGAACTCTGAGTGGTGTTGCCATGTATGTCAATCTCTGGCTGTTGTCTGCTGCTGTTAGTTCTCAGTCTAAAGACCTTCTTGTAGTATTTTTTTGTAAATCTGGCTTTGATTTATAAAGTCCTTTAATTTCTGTTTATCTGAAATGTTCACATTTCACCATCATATTTGAAGACAGCTTTGCTGCTTATATAATCCCTGGTTACCAGTTTTTTGTTTTTGTTTTAGTTTTTTTCTCTCAGGGTTTTACATATGTCTCTCCATTGCCTCCTTGCCTGCATGGTTTCCGTTAAGAAATCAGAACTTAGTCTTATTGGTTTTCCTTTGTAGGTAACGTTTCATTTTTCCTGAGCTACTCTCAGGATTCTTTTATTCTTATCTTTGATTTTGGAGAGTTTGACTGTGATATACCTTGATAATTTTCTTTGGGGGAATCTATCCTGTTTGTAGTTAGTTCTTCTTCTTTAATGCTTATCTTTTCATCTTTGATGATGTTAGACAAATTTTCTTCCAACAGATCTTCAACTATCTTTTCTGTGGTTTTCTTTGTCTCTTCTTGCTCTCCAGCTTTGATCACCCATAGTTATACCTCTTCATACTGTACTACATGAATTGTAGGCTTTCTTCAGATTTTTTTCTTTCTTTTTTTCTGATTGTTCTTCTAGCTTGCTAGTATCGAAAGATTTATCTTCTAGCTCACTAATTTTTGTCTCCATTGATTGAAACCTATTCCTTTGCCCTTTTAATGTATGGTCCATTTTGGATATCTTAGAATTAGTCTTCTAGATTTCTGTTTGCAAGTTTTATATTGTCTCCAATCCTTATCTATTTTGTTTGATTATTCCTTAGCACTTTTCTGAATTTTTCCTTGCTTTCCTCAACCTTTCTGCCAATAGTTTGAAGGTAACTAAATATCATTTATGCAAGTCCATGATCTCTTTTACCTAAGAAACATTTTCTAGGTCAGCTTCTTGGTCGTTTGAGCTACTCTGTCTTTATTTTTCATGTGAACAGAGATTGTTGCTTTAGAGGTATTATAGTGTTGTTGTACTTGAATTAAGTTAATAAATGTATGCTGATGTAGTCTTAGGTTCTGGTGGTTGTGATCAAAAGATGAGCTTTTGCACTGTTCTTTGTTTGCTGTTCATGTATTTCAGTTCAGTTTGAATTTAACTGGTGTTGCTTGTTGTCATTGATCCAGTGTATAGCAGCTGATATGATTCTAGTCTAATTGGAGAGTATAGTGGTTATGAGTTGGTCTGGTAATCTCAAGATCAGAAGCTTGAAACTACCAGTGGTTCTGCAAGAGAAAGATGAAGCTTTATGCTTCCATAAAGGTTTACAACCTTTGAAACCCTGTATAGAGTCACTATGAATCAGAACCGATTCCATAGCACATAACCACCACCACCACAAGAGGTTATGGCTGTGGTTGGGCTGTATGGCCGCAGTTACTCTTTCCTGTCATGTGAGGCAAGAAAACACTCCCATAAAAGAAAAGGAAAACAAACAAAACCATCAAACAATAGCAAAAAAATAAGTGGAATGCTTCTTTGCCATTTACTGGCCTCTTGCCTTCACAGTTGCCTGAGAAATTTCAAGATGGTCCCCACCATTCCTCTCTGAACAATAACTAATCTTATTTTTCTTCTTCTTCTTTTCCCTTTTTCTCTATCCCATATGTAACCAACTGCCCCAAACTTTTCTCTTCCCTCCTTAGTACTTAAATTACTCTACTAAGAACAGCACCACACCAGAACTCTTACATTGTATTAGCTTTCTTTTATCCCATTGTAAAATTTGATAATGTAAAAGTAATATGCTAATGAAAACTAGGAGTTGGGATAAGAAAATAAAGAATTTTGATCTTTTCCTTCTTTCTTGTCTTCTCAATCACTTTTTGCTTTCTTCATGTATGATATTCTTGATGTCATCTCACAATTCCTCTGGTCTTTGGTCTTTAGTGTTTAATGTATCAAATCCATTCTTCAGATGATCTCTAAATTCAGGTAGGATATATTTAAGGTCATATTTTGGCTCTCGTAGACTTGTTTTCATTTTCTTCAGCTTCAGTTTGAATTTGCATATGAGTAATTGATGGTCTCTTCCACAGTCTGCCCCTGACCTTGTTTTCACTGATGATATGTAGCTTTCCATCATCTCTTTCCCCAGATGTAGTCAATTTGATTTCTATATATTCCATCTGGTGAGATCCATGTGTATAGTCTCTTATGATGTCTAAAGAAGGTATTTGAAATGAACAAATCCTTGATTTTGCAGAATTCTATCATGCGTTCTCCAGTATCATTTCTATTACCAAGGCCATATTTTCCAACTACCGATCCTTCCTCTTTGCTCCCAACCTTTGCATTCCAATCACCAATAATGATCAATATGTCATGATTGCATGTTTGATCAATTTCAGATTGGGTGGTACGTTAATTTGAATAATAGTGGTATTAACTGGGCTTCCCTGTAGGCGCATGGATATTATCCTATCACAGACAGCGTTGGATCTCACGGCTGATCTGGATATGTTCTTTTTGATGGTGAATGCAACACCATTCCTCTTCAATTTGTCATTCCTGTCATAGGTGTACCTCATAGGCACACAGATATTATCCGAGCACAGTCAGCATTATACTTCAAGGTAGATCTTGAAATGTCCTTTATGATGATGAATGAGATGTCATTCGTCTTCAATTTGTCATTGCCGGTATAGTAAACCTTGAGATTGTTAGATTCAAAATGGCCAATACCAGTTCATTTCAGCTCACTAATGTCTAGGATATGAATGTTTATGTGTTCCATTTCATTTAGATTATTTCCAACTTTCCTAGACTTATATTTCATACATTTCATGTTCAGATTATTAGTGGAGTTTTACAGCTGTTTCTCTTTATTTTGAGTTGTGTTCCATAAGCAAATGAAGGTCCCGAGGGCTTTACTCCATGTGTGTCATCATGGTCAACTCTACTTTGAGGAGGTAGCTCTTCCCCATATATTTTGAGTACCTCCCAACCTAGAGCTCATCTTCCGGAGCTTATATTTGATAATATTCTGGTATTCTTTGTTATGTTTCAATATTGAATGCTCTGGTGCTGACAGTGCTTCACTACTATTCATAAGGTTGTCAGTGACTGCGTATTCACAAGTAGTCTGTGTTTCCTTCTTTCTACATTGTCTTTATCAGGAAGTTTACCTAAAACCTGTCCACCATGGGTGACCCTGCTGTTGTTTAAAATAAACCACATAGCATAGCTTCCATAATCATGCAACTCACAAGCCACCATTGTATGACCAACTGACAGATGAGTGGTGGCAGTGAACCTATCAACAAAGAAAACCCTTAGGAGGAATTTCATTCTCTAACACATGGAGTCACCAGGAATCATACTTCTAGGGCAAATGATTTTGTTGGTTGTTTTTTAAAATAAATATTGTATCACCAAAATTCAAGTCCCTTCCTGAAAAGAACAAATGCTACTAGTTGTGTAACCTTAACAAACTCTGAGATCTTTGTCAGATCATTTCTGTTGTAATCAGAAATTCTAAAATATGTACAAGTGGATATTTTCTAAAAAGTATAGATACTATTTTCCATGATTTAATGTATATCTCTTTTCTTTTGTGCTTTGTCCTCATTTCATTCTTTAATCGAGTTCTATATCTGCTTTCTAACTGATCTGTGTTTTTTGTTTTCTTTATAGCTATTCGAAGGTTTTATGTATAGCATTTGAGGTACTTCAGGGCTTGCAGTATATGAACAAACATGGAATAGTTCACCGTGCACTGTGCCCTCATAATATTCTTTTGGACCAAAAGGTAAGTGTCAAGTGATATAATAAGTTAATGTTTATTAATTGAGGCTGGATGGTTCTTAAATCAGGCTTACTCATTTAATTAGAGGGGCCTGACATTGAGAATGTTTAAGAATCTTCATATTGCGAAGAGTGTGAAAGTGGTATCCTTGTGGTTGTTAGAAAATCATGACCATTTAAATTGTATAAATCCATGTGTCTTTCATACATTCTCCCTTTCCCCAAGCCTATTTTATAAATTTCATGTTTTATTTTTCCCTTCACACTTGTTTTTTTGTGATGACTTCCAAGTCTTACCTCTTTAAATTAGCTTTATTGCTTTTGAAATTATTTAGATAAAATATTTTTTCTTAGAAACTTATTTTCATTGTGCTTTCTCTTTGTTCATCTTTTCCCCCTTTTCCATTTACTTTTAGTAATCAGCTGTTGGTACCTAGCATCCTTTTATATTGGAGTGCTACTGCTTTACTTGGGAATCTTATTGGAGTTTAATAAGGAGTTATGGTTAAGTGCCATGGAGCAGGCTCTTACTCACAACCATCATGTATAGGGTGTCTGAGGCTGTAAATCTTCACAGGAGCAGAAAGCCTCATCTTTTTCCTGAGGAGCAGCTGATGGGATCAAACCACCAACCTTGTGGTTTGCAGTCCAGTGCGTAGCCTACAGAATTACCACATTCCTTAATATGTAGCTAAACAGTACTTTTAAAAGAATTGTGAAATATTTTTAGGTATAATGTAGTTTTATTCTTCCTTCTTAATAAGCATATAAAAAGTTTTTAGGAATTTATTTCCTGGAAATTTTTTTCTGTATCTGTAGGATTATCTCTTTCCTCTGATTGTAACTTTCAATGAAGCTACTTTATGATATTAAAAATCACACAAAAAATGCTTATTCATTTCAGATTGATTCTGAAATTTTTTTAAAAATATAAATACGTTGTAATGCTGGAAAATAAAGTTCTTGGAAGAAAACAAACTGACCAATTTTCAATTAACTTAATTTTTTATAGAAGCATTTAAGAGGCTAAAAACTTAAGAGACATATGAAATTTTTATTTCAGAATATTACACTTAGAATAATATGTTTTTTCTCAAACCATACAAAAAATTATTGGAAATCTAGAAGACTTAATCAAAATCTTGAAGATTTTTGAACTGATGTTTTCAAATTGCTTTAAAGGACTCCTATGTCAGTGTTAAAGTTTATTACATTAGGATTTAACTTGCAACTTCCTGAAAAGAAAAATTCTTTTGTGGAAATTACTGCAAATATTCTAACCAAGGACTCTTCCTCCCCATCCCCTAAAAAAGAGAGAGAACATTTTTTATTTATCAAAAAGGCTTCAATAATATAACATAAATAACCAATATTTCTAAGAAAAAAAATATATGTACATACTTGCAGTTCAAACACACCAGCCACTCCTTGGAAACCCTGTACAGGGCCACTATGAGTCAGAACCGACTCAACGGCACTTAACAACAACAACATACATACGTATGGAGTATAAAGCAGAATTTAAATGTTGACATAGATTTTATGATAAAATTATGGTAAAATAATTGTTTTTAGTGTTTTTACAATGCTTTTCTAATTTATAAAATATATAATAACTCTTGTTTCTGGTTGTTGTTAAGTGCCATCGAGCCAGTTCTTACTCATAGTGACCCTGTAAAGGGTTTGAACAACAAACCTTGCTATTCAAATTGGCCTTACTGTCTAATGCATTATACATAGCGCCATTCAGATATTTTGTGTTGTTTTTTATTTTAGGGGCATATTAAATTGGCTAAATTTGGACTTTATCACATGACAGCTCATGGTGATGATGTTGATTTCCCAATTGGGTAAGAATATCTTTTATTTTGAGCTCTATCTCTAACTTTTTAAACTTTTAAAAAGTATATTTTGCTAGTTTTAATAATGCTTTCTTATTCTAAAAACAGCTTTTCTGTACTAATACATCTTAATTTACAATTTATTTTTTAAAGACTAGCAGTGAGTTTTTCCCAGTATCCTAAAGATCCCTTCATTGCTGAGCCTTCATGGGGTTGGCAGAGAGGCTAAGAAATGTTTGATCATCCATTTATCATGCTTACTAATTAACTATTTCAAATAGAGTTAGATATTTATAAGGTAGTAGTGGTTACGAGTTGGGCTGCTAACCTCAAGGTCAGCAGTGTGATACTACCAGTGGTTTCGCAGGAGAAAGATGAGGCTTTCTGCTCCGGTAAAGATTTACAGCCTCGAAAACCCTCTACGGGGTCGCTATGGGTAGGAACCGACTCTACAGCACTTAACACCACCACCACCTCTTGTTATAATACATAGAGTTCATATACTTTTGGAGTCCTGGTGTGGTGCTGTGGGTTATTGCGCCAGACTGCAAAGCCATTTGAACTGCAAGGTTTTCAGTTCAAGCTCACCAGCTGCTCCTTCGGAACCCTATATAGAGTCGCTATGGGTCTGAATCGACTCGATGGCACTTCACAGCAACAACAAAGTTCATTAGATTTTCATATAATAACAATGCATATGCATCGAGAGAAAGAAAAATCACTTTCATATTATTTTCCATGTAAGCTTTGTAAGTTTAATTTCCTGTTGTCTAAGACCGAATGGTATATGAAATCAGTTTGAGTTATACTAGATATCAGAGTTAATAGTGTAAATTCCATACCTGAAAATCTATATTTAATTTTGGAAGAGTTCATTAGATTACTGCTGATATGGAGAATAAGAGGCGTACATTATTTCCCTTTACCCCTAAATACTTCAATTTGTATTTCCTAAAATAAGGAATTTTTTTACATAGCCACAGTAAAATGAACAAAATTGAGAAATCAATATTGATACAATATTACATATTATCTAATCTCAGGACTTTACTTGCATGTTTTCATCTGTTCTTGGTTCTTTTTAACATTACCCCGTGCTCTTTGGACTTTCTAAAATCAGTTCTATCAGTAATTACTGAGAATTGTGGCATAGAGTCATATGATGTTACTTTTTTTTTGTAGAAGCAGAAAATGCTGAAAGAAATGACATAAACTAACAAATCTCTCATTTACATGTTGCTCTTATATCTTTTAATTGAGAATGTAGGTTTCTTTTGTAAAATTTTCATTTACTAAGGTATTTTATGAACAATAAAAAGACCCCCATCTTCAAATATATAAATTTATACAGTCTTTTATTAAGTATTAAACAGGAATAAAAACTAGACACAAGTCAACATATATCACATCAGGTGAAGGAAACCATTAATATGATGTCATGATGGAATCCATAGTTCTGCCTCATCATGGTGAATTTATATAGAACACAGAGAACAAAGGAATCTCCTCCAGCATCTATGATTGACAGCACCATTGCATCACATATGTAGTCATGTGTGTATAGCAGTAGGTAGAGAACTATTATAAATGGGAAAGCTTACAGATGGCCTCTGAGTCCCTTGGAGAATGAAGTTACAACCAGTAGACTATTGTAGCCATAAGGGATTTTCCCAGGAGATTTCCTGTGAGGGATTCTCTGTTCTTCCTGCAGCAGCTGGGGAAATGAACCCAAACTCCCCTTCAAATACACTCTGCTTCATACTTTGGCAATTCAGTCATCAGAGGTACATGAGGTACTCAAGATAAATTGGTATCTAAACACTTAAATCAAGCAAGGCACAAGATAGAATTAAGCTTTGCTTGGTTAGAGTCATTTGCAGTCAACAAGCTTTCAGATTTCAAGCTTGAAAGCAGATATAACTGATAAACCTTAGATTATAGTAAATCTTTTAGCCATTCCTTCCTTTATTCACTCAGAACACATTTATTGAACACCATGCCTTTCTAGGTGCTAGATATTCAAAATGAATAACATAGGTTCCTGCCATTAAAAAATTCATTATATATTGAGAATTTTTTAATACCTTACTTAATGTTCATAAATATATAGTTTTACATATCAAAAGCTTACAGTCATAAGCAACAAATAATTCTTTTTGCAAGTCTAAAGCAATATTTTGTAAAGATTGTTTGCAATTTCCTATTTGTTTAAAATCTTGCTTTGAGTATAAGAAGTTCATACTAAACCTAGCTTCTTTGTCATATGTGATAATTGCCTTTTGATGTGGTTGCTGCTGCTTCCTTTTTTATCTACATCAGTTTGTTTTAAAGACAACTGTAAAAGCACAATGCAACCAAACATTACATACACTTACCACAGTTGAAGAAGAATTACTTTATGTTTTCAATTTCTGCTTCAAGGTGTTTTAGGTTTTAGTGTTGAGTAGAAGAAATGAGGTGATTTTTCTACAATGCACTTCAAGTACTCTAAAGAAGTACAGCTGAGTTTAGAAAGCTTAGACAGAAATGGTTTTGTTTTACCATTTGGTGTGGTTTTGCTTTGAAGGCTTAGACCCAAAGGGTCTTAACCAGAGAGTTTCAGAGAGAAAAATATGAAACATTAGCCAGGAAAAATAAGGTGATCAAACAGCTAAGTCCTGAAAGAAAGTATTTATACCAGAAGAAGCTTACAGTTGATTCAAAAGACAAATATTAAGAGAAAAGAAAGTAAAATGTTAACATCTGCTTCAAAATATTGTTAAGAGTTAGAAACTGGACATTCATTTCAGTTGGCCAGTAGCTTAATATGTGTAGAAACATTCAACAGATGCTAAAAGCTCTTTAAATTTATCACACCAGTCATACACACAGCAAATACTGTACCAAAGAAGAGAGCCTTGTTGAAAATGATTATCTGCAATGAAAGAACAATTCTAGGGTTTATTGTTTTCATTCATTTCTTGATTAAAAGGAAAACTAGAATTTTGTAGCAAGGACTACATCTGTGCTTCTAGAAATCATCAGTCTAAGTTTTTAATGAAATAATTTTGAAAAAGCATCGTTGCTTGAATTTTTCACTAACCATGTTAACATTTTAAATTTAGATGTGCTGGAAATAACTTACTTCAAAAGTAATAATTTGTCCTATGTCTTGGATAATGGTAAAATACAATACTATATTTTTGATACACTTTCCTTTTTTATAAGACATCTTTGTAGGTTTACTTTTAACAGTTTTGTGAGGTGTTATGTACCATTGAGTCTGTAAATAGAATGAAAAGACAACTCAAAAAGTGGTAGGAGATATTTCAACTCATAATCACTGGGAAAAAACAAGATTAATATCTAGAATTATAAAGAATTCCTTGCCTAACAATAATAATAATAATAAAATCCACAACTGCACAAGAAGAATTAGCCAAGTGCATTTTGACCGCTATCCTTGGCCCTGCTTGCAAGGTTCGCTCTTGAGCCTGGTAACTTGTATTTCAGAAGTGTTTTCATGATTCCATAACCTATAAAAGTGGTTTACTGGTTCTGTTTGTATAAATGATGTGTTTTATGCTTCTTGCCTAGAGGTCTGGAAGTTTGTTGCATGCTAGACAGAGGTTGCCAATGTGCCCACCCCCTAAGTATAAACTTTAGTCATTGGATCTTTAATGGACTTTCCAGGGTTGGAATATCAAACAGTATCTTGGGGGAGGAGAAATGCATGTTGTGTGGACCCTGATGAGAGAGAGTAGCTTGAAGAAGTTCACAGGTAGATTTCTCCAGACTCTGCCTCCTTTCCCCTTATATTCCAGCTTTCAGCCTTTTGGTGCCACCTCTAAAAATTTATCTATCAGCTATACATACATTTGTGGGAAACGGAATATTTATTTTTATTTCCACAATATATGATAGAAGAATGGAATTTCCAAAATATCCTTCATCCAAATTTGGGCAAATAAATTCCGTATATGCATACAATGAAATTCTTTGTATTTTTCAAAAATAATGAGGTAACTATTTATTCTTATAAAATGAACTGTAAAAGATAGTGTTAGGCTGCAGGGGTTGGAGGTAAAAGTATAGAATAGTGTATATAGGTTGCTACCTTATGAAGCAGTGCTGGTTAATGGATAAGTAGATACAGACATAAATATAACATGGATACATACATATACATACCTAGGGGGGAGAAATATCTTAGGAAGGACACAAAAATGTTTGGAAACAGATTATTGCTAAACTGGTCAATTGGGTGACTTTACAGAGAAAAGAGAGTTACTTTTTAATCTATATATTTTCAATCTGTATTTTATAATGTTTGTATTATTCAATAAAATTAATACTGTTTTAAAAAGTTAAAAATTTAATTTGAATAATAGTTCAATGCAAAGTCTTATGTCTAGGAATCAAAAATAAATAGGCAGTTTATTCTTGATTCCTTGACATAAAAATCTGTATTACAGTGGTTAGCTTAAATATTCCTAGCAATTGTTTAAGTGCATGCAACTTTTCTATAGAACTTATCACAAGTATGATGAAAATGTACTACTACTGGTTTCCCCATTGTTGAATATAGTAATTATCCATTATTTTAATGTATCTTTATAGGTATCCATCGTACTTAGCACCTGAGGTAATCGCACAAGGAATTTTCAAAACCACTGAACATATGCCAAGTGAAAAGCCATTACCTTCTGGCCCCAAATCAGATGTATGGTCTCTTGGAATCATTTTGTTTGAGCTTTGCATGGTATGTATAAGCAATAATATAAATTATTTATTTCTTGGGATAAGCTTTTTGGAAAGGAAAGTTATTTGTTAATAATGGGTTTTTACTTTGCATAGTAATTAGATATGACGAGAAAAAGCTTACATTTTTACTTCACTGTAAAAAAATAATTTTTAATTTTTTAGAGCTTTAATTTTTAATTGAGTCTTACTTTACATGGGACAACATTGGATTTGCTCTCAACCAATCATATTTTGTTTCATTGTAATGATTACAACCCCTTTCATGCACCATCGGTTAACAGTATTTGCCTTTATTCCCTCTTTTTTATTTTTTGATATGCACAAAAACACACAGTAATGTCTCATTGTTTAAGCAACCAAAGGGCACATTGTGCAAGCCAGTCTTGTGTAGCAGATTTGCCTAATGCAGTTCATCGTTTAATTTCTTGACTGCTGCTTCCATGAGTGTTGATGGTTGATCCAAGAAGAATAAAGTCCTTGACAACTTCAAACTTTTCTCTGTTGATAAGAATGTTGTTTCTTGGTCCAATGGTGAGGATTTTGTTTTCTTTACATTGAGATGTAATCCATATTGTAGGCTGTGGTCTTTGATCTTCATCAGTAAGTATTTTAAGTCCTCTTCACTTTCAGCAAGCAAGGTTGTATTATCTGCATATCACAGGTTGTTAATGAGTATTCCTCCAATCCTGATACCATATTTTTCTTCATATAACCCAGCTTCTTGGATGATTTGCTCAGCATACAGGCTGAATAAGTATGATGATGAAAGAATACACCCCTGTCACACACCTTTCCTAATTTTAAACCATTTGGTATTCCCGTGTTCTGTTTGAAGAACTGCTTCTTGGTCTATGTACAGGTTCCACATGAGAACAATTAAGCGTTCCATAATACTCATTCTTCACAATGTTGTCCATAGCTTGTTATGATCCACACAATCTAAAGCATTTGTGTAGTCAATAAAGCACAGGTAAACATATTTTAGTATTCTTTGCTTTTAGCCAAAATCCGTCTGACGTTAGTAGTTATATCCCTCATTCCACGTCCTCTTCTGAATACTTTAAAATTTACACTTATGTATTTTTTACATTCATATTCCAATATAATTTTTTTAAACAAAAATAAAATAATTATTGTTCCTTAGCAATATAATATGAATATCTATACAATGGATACACAGTATCAAAAACTGTGGTAATTCCCTTATAAAAAATACTGCCAGAGATGAGGACATGGAAAGAGGGAGAAGCTGAGGACTCTGGATTCATGGACAGAGACTGAGTGCTGGTGGGCAAGATGCAGGCTTGCTGAATGTACCCTTTGGTTGTTTAAATTATTATATATTGCTGAGTGTTTCTGTGTATATCCCCTCCAAAACCAACAACAACAAAACAGGGATGGGAAGCAAAGACTAGGCAAAAAGACTAAAAAGTTATATTGGAGCAGTATTACAGGAGACATTGAGTGCTAAATCAAGACATTTTTATTTAGTTACACAGGTAGTTCTCTACATACAATGGTGCTTCCCTTCCAACAGCGCCATTATAAATCAGTTCTAATATAAGTGGGATACTTTTTTCCTTTTTAAAAAATGTTTTCATTATTATTACATTTTATTATTAGTCTCTGTATTAATACAGTTTTTTAACATCTGTAAGTGAACATCTTAAACTGTTAGCATCAGCAAATTACGCATTGCAATATTGTACATAGTTGTTGTTGTTAAGTGGCATTGAGTTATTTCCAACTCCTAGTGACCCTGTAAAGGGTTTCCGAGGAGTGACTGGTGAGTTTGAATGGCCTACCTTGTGGTTCAAACCAACCTTGCAGTCCAGTGTTTTATTCCACAGCAAAACACCAGATGGTACAGGCGTACCTTGGTTTGGTTCCATACTACCACAATAAAGTAATATTCACAATAAAGTTACATTTTTTTTTGGTTTCCCAGTACATATACAAGTTATGTTTACACTATACCATATTATTGAATATGCAATAGAATTATGAAAGTTTGAAATAGTGTGAGAATTACCAAAAGTGAGGACATAATGTTGCAAAAATGGCACTAGTAGTATTGCTTGATGCAGAGTTGCCACAAACTTCACTTTGTAAAACACAGTATTTGTTAGGTGCACTAAACCAAAGCACAATTAAAACAAGGTATGTCTGTATAAAACACACACACATCTGTTACAATAATAACCAAAAATGATTGTAAGCACCGTTCATTGTAACTCAAATAGGTCGTAAGTAGAGGACTATCTGTATAAGGTTTAAAGAGCCATTGAGAGTATTTTAACTAGTTGTTAATGAAATCACACCGTCATTTTTAGGAGATTAATATAATGTGGCTCTGTGGGCTAATGTGTGCACTGTACAGCTAGGTTGCTTTGAACTGCAAGGTCAGAGGTTCAAGCTCACCATCTGATCCTTGGAAACCCTGTGCAGAGTCAGTACGTGTTGGAACTGACTCAATGGCACTTAACAACAACAACAATATGATGTTGTTATTGGGTGTCATGAAGTCGGTAACTACTCATAGTGACGCTTTGCACAACAAAACGAAACATTGCCCCGTTCCTGGGCTAACCTCACGACTGTTGCCACACTTGAGCCCACTGATAGTAGTGCAAAAGATTGAGAAGAGAGAGGATGGCGACCTTTTTTCATAAATGATAGTCCCATTTGTAGTTCCACTTTCAGAAGTCTTTAAGATTTAAAACAGTTTCAAAGTGTCTCTCTCTACATAAAAACCAGGCTATCTTCTTAAACCTCCAAGATCCATAGGTTAACAAACCTAGCTCCCCCAGTTGTGTGCCTGGAAGCACCCCATACTTTGTAAGTAAGCCTCTTGCCTAAAGTCACTCAGCTTTACTTGCTCAGGTGACTGGGAAGTCCCACTGTTCTGTCTGGTGTTCTGGCTCTTGGTCTGCTGCTGCTCTTCCTTGCCAATCCTCTGATACTCCTGTGATGTCGCAGCTTTCTGTCCCTGGGTCAAGGAGTTTCAATGCACAGGGATCTTGTGACCCAAAGGACAGGCTCCACTTCTGGCTTTTCTTCTCTGATGGTAGTGAGACCCCACTTCCTGCTTCTGAGATGACTCATTTTATACCCATGTTAAAGCTCCAAATTTTTACAATTGGAAGTCATTCAATCATTCACAACTGAATCATATCATCCTATCAGCATCTTCTTTCACCATCTCTTACCTAGACCCATCAGAAAAAGTCTTGTGATGTTATATTGTTAATTTGCTATTTCACCAATAATTGTTTTCTTTATTGAAGCTGACTTTAAAATTCCAATAAAAACTTCTGAAGAAACTCTCTTCTATGAAAAATTCTAGAAACACTTCATTGGTAAAAGAAATGAAAAATATGAAGATGTTAAGAACTTATTTTCTATTTTTATAGGGAAGAAAATTATTTCAGAGCTTGGATATTTCTGAAAGACTAAAATTTTTGCTTACTTTGGGTAAGTGTCATGAAATTGATGTATTATATTATCTTTCAACTCTAAATATTATGCTTAGTATCTGTTAGTAAACATGCATATTATGGATGTGTTTGGCAATAATGAAAACCCTGAAATATCTCCATTTTCTTTAAATTTCTAATTATCAATGTTGTTATTGTTGTTGTTATGTGCCATCAACTTGGTTCAGATCCACAGTGACCCTGTACAGGTTTTCCAAGGAGCTGCTGGTGAGCTTGAACCACTGACCTTGTGTTGAAACCAACTTTGCAGTCCAGTGCATTAACCTACAGTGGGTAGGCAAGCATGAATAGGGCATCCTACTGAAAAATTATAGTTGTTGTTGTTGTTAAGTACTATCAAGTCATTTCTGACTTATAGCGACCCTGTATAGGGTTTCCTATGAATGGCTGATGAGTTTTGAGCCACTGATCTTGCGATTCAAACTGACCTTGTGATTCAGTGCTTATCCTTCAGTGCCACACTGGAACTTCAAATATTATAGTAAACGTTTCTTTATATTATAAGGAACTGTAAACTAGATGGTGGTAATCTTAGCTTTGTATTCTAGTCAAGTAAACTGATAGTTTACTTGACTAGAATACAAATAAAAAAATTTTTTTTTTCTTACAGTGAAGTATAGAGCTATTATAAATTTGGAGTGCTGGTGTGGTGCTGTGGGTTAATGTGTTGGACTGCAAAGTCGGTTGGAACTGCAAATTTACCGCCCACTTTCTGAAACTCTTATCTATACAGGGTTGCTATGGGTCAGAACAGACTTTATGGCACTTACACAACAATACTATAGCTATTAGGGAGTCATGGAGATTAGTATAGGCTAACCTATACTTTAAATGCCCAGATAAATGTATGTATTCTCCAAATTATATATGTTGTTCTTTTTGTTGTTAAATGCTGTTGTATTGGGTCTGAATTATAGTGACCCTGTACGGGGTTACTTAAGAGGCGTTTTGAACTACCACTCTTTTTTTTTTTTTTTTTT